AGACAGAACTAATCAATCACAGAGAGCGTTCACTCACTTCTGATAGTATATTCAAACAGGGCTGATTTTACCAAAAGTATCATAAGCATTAAAGCTTTTGGGAACGGCAGCCCTGAACAATGCTTATAAGAGGACAGAAGGACAGAGTTATTTCACAATGTGTAAACAAAAAACATATTTGAACCATATAACAGAATAAGTTACAATTAAGGCGTATTGAATGTTAAAAATGCGTTTTAAAAAAAATATAATTAAAATAGATTTTTCACACTTTAAGTAATATTGTATCGCATAAAACACCCCACACCCGCCCTGAACACCTCTCCACACAACCATTCACACCTCCAGCAACCCCCCTCTCCCCCACAGCTGCAATTCAGATCAGCAAAGACGAGGTGCGCCAGGTCTTCCGGAAGAAGAAAAGGAAACCCTCCCTTCTCTCCAAGAACTGTACTTATCCAGAGTGAGCAAAAGGCCTAGCAAAATCACTCTGGACCCCTCACATCCAGTACACTCACTCTTTGAACTGTTGCCATCTGGTCGACGCTACAGAGCTCTGAGCACCAGAACGGCCAGACACAGGAACAGTTTCTTCCCTCAGGCAATCCATCTCATGAACACCTGACAATAACTGTGGAACACACACTATTTATTCACTATTCACAACTATTCACTCATACACTTATTTATCTAACACACATACTCAGTATACATTTCAATTTGCACATAATATACCTGTACATACAACTGTCTATTGTTATATACCTGTACATACAATTGTCGATTTGTATATTTTTATTCCTTATTTACTTCTATATAGTTCTATTTTTAATTTTTAATTTATTTTTATTTTTTATTATCTGTGTTTTTTTGTTCTGTCACTGTCATTCTGTTACACTGTGGAAGCTTCTGTCACGAAAACAAATTCCTCGTATGTGTAAACATACCTGGCAATAAAGCTCATTCTGATTCTGATTCTGAATATCGCATTTTTTAACAAGGTATCGCATATCACATTTTTTTTTCAATATCGCACAGCCCTACTAACCATGTATGTAAGATGTTCTGACCAAATTACCATCCAGCTAATTATTTAATCATACTTAGGGGTGGGTGGTAAATGATGGAGATCAATTTTTAAGAGTAATCATGGTTCAACTCATGTTTGAAATACTACATGAACTTTTCATAATTAATCAGTAATTTAGAAGTAAATACTTTACAAATGGACCTCTTTCACAGACTGTGTTTCCACAGTTTATTTATATTTAAAAAAAATTTAAATGGAATGTGCATTTTATAACTATACCTACCTAATGATATAGTACCCTAAATCACAGAACACAGTATATTTTCTAATACAATGGCTGAGGGAATGATGGCAACTTTGACATTTTCTCTTCTGACCAAATAATCAATCTCTCAATATGTCTTTTCCTCTTTTGTAAAATTAAAATCTTTGATTTTTTTCCCTTTGCTATTGGAACAAATTTGAAGATAATAATGATGTCTGTTGTAGTTTTCATTTACCACTACTGAAGTTTATCATCTATGAGGACTTATGTTTCTGAGAATCCCAGAAATGTAAAAAGAGTACATTAAATGTAAATTCATTTTATTGAATTTAAACACAAAATCTGACTATTGCAAAGCAAAAGGTTAGAATATTCATAACACAATAAGCTTGGGATTATTTTGTTGGAAGCAGTTTGCAGTGTATTATTTATTTATTTTGTATATACTTTTGGTATAAATCTCTACCTGTTGATAGATTTTGACCATTACACATTATACACATGTTTTTTTTGCATTCAAATGATATCTGAATTGCTTGATAGTCAAATAAAAGACAGCATGACAACCTGGAATCTATAATTACCTCAAGTCCCGCATCCGTTATAGTCGACCTCTTTAGACTGACAGACTTGACTCCCTTCTTCGACAATGGATAGTTGTCGATGAACTCACAAATGTCCAAATCCGAGACCCCCACCAGACAGAAGGACTGGAAGCCTCTGAGAGCAAAAGCCTGCAGGCTGACAAACTCCTTCTCCCCATTGGGCAGGATAGTGTAGAGTTCCTTGGCATGTAGAATGGGCGTCACACCTTCCCAGAACTTGGGCTGGTAGAGCACTTTCCGCCACGTCTTGCACACCTGGGCTAGAATGCACTTTTCTGCCGTGGTGAAGTACCATAAGAGCCGGTTCAGCACCTTCTCGTCCAGCACCAGTTGTCTCTCCAGCAGGGGCTTGGGAAATTGCCGGAGGGGAGGTTTGATGGCAGTCACGGGGCTCGTGTCCAGGTCAGGGCCCAGCAGTGAGGCCGCTGTGGGCAGGGGCTCTAGGTGATAGGGAAGGCTAGGGGGAGGCAAGATGGTGGGCACGGAGGACGACTGGCACAGGCGATTCTTGGCAGCTGGAGTGCCTTTAGTAATGCTGGCCGAACCGAGGCCGTTGGGCTGGGGGGACAGCTTGACCATGCCGTTCCGAGTCACGCAGGGAGACTTGAGGTCACTGGGAGTGGACATATTCAGCATTGGAAGCCTGTGAATAGACCAGAGTTGAATCATAACATGTCTTGACAGTGATATTTAAAAATATATTATTATGATAAAAAAAAATTCACACTATCTATAAATGTGATCACAGCTCATAAGAAAGTGTTCATTTCTATGGCAGGGCTTAATAATAACAGTTTTTTCCTGTTATTTTCCTGAATAAAATATTATTATTCATGTTTCTCTCTTTCAGTAAATGTTACATTTTCCTAAGGTTTCTATAATAACAAGACAAAGAAAAGACAAAAACAGGCAAAAACACTGTTTGGTAATCACTTTTCTTTTTACACTTTTAGCATAAAGCATTTTAGCTGCATTTATATTTGTCTTGACAGTGATATTTAAAAATATATTATTATGATAAAAAAAAATTCACACTATCCATAAATGTGATCACAGCTCATAAGAAAGTGTTCATTTCTATGGCAGGGCTTAATAATAACAGTTTTTTCCAATGACAGATTTATACTTGCCCTGCCAACAATTTCAGTGGCTATCCATTTCATAGATAAATATTTTTAGCAAAATATTATTATTCATGTTTCTCTCTTTCAGTAAATGTTACATTTTCCTAAGGTTTCTATAATAACAAGACAAAGAAAAGACAAAAACAGGCAAAAACACTGTTTGGTAATCACTTTTCTTTTTACACTTTTAGCATAAAGCATTTTAGCTGCATTTATATTTACATAAGTTTTCATCAAAACAACTTCTACTATTTTCCACACATTTTGTAAGGGCTTAAGAGGGATTTTTAGCCCCACTGTAGCCTAATATTTGTAACCGTAGACGTAGATTCAAAGGTTTGGTTAACACTGAACAAATTAGATTTGTGTTTCAAATCCGATCTTTAAGACTGACTGTCTACTCACTGTTATTTAGCAAGTAATTGGATCCGTTTGTTCAATATCTGATATATCTACATCGATTGCCATAGTAAGAGCAATGACATTAGCAGTTTTTGTCTACAGACACTGATAGTAAATGTCGGTATGGAAAGAGTGAACAAACCTAGAAATTTGATCTTTGATACACGCCTTGATAGTGAGCTCAGGAGATGCATGACATAGCATACGCGTCAACTGCTTTACTGTATTTCACCCATCAATGCAGGTGTTCGCTCACGCACTCTCAGGCTAATTTATTATTTACAATATAGTCAGATCATCAGTTCATTGTATGCATTGAGAGTGAGTGAAAATTAGTAAATTATACTGCAGAATAGAGACATTGCAGCACAAAGAATGAACAAAGAAAAAGAATGAACAGTCAGTGAAACAGAAGCAGTGATAAAATAACAAAACAGGACTGAGAATTGTTCTGAGAACGGACGTTGTAGAACATGACAGAAGAATATACTCTGAAACAGAGCCGCCTTTTCAACACTCTGGTCCACCTTAAAACCTCCATGCAGGTGTGCGTGCTCTGTGCACTAATGCTTCAAGTGTAAAATGTCAATGAGTGTAGCTTGCTTTCAGACATTTTTCTCAATAAGCCCTGCCGTGCTTATCTCCGCAGCTCAAACACTTATACTATAAACTATATTTTAATGACAAATGTCGAGAGCGAATCTCTCCACTCGCACACGGGTTTCCTTTGCTCTCGCACAAACCCGGACGTTCGCACTCAGATACACACTGCTCTCGCCCGGAGAGAGTGCGCGCACGCTTAAAACGTGTCTCTCCTCTCACTCAAACTGTGTCCTGTGCACTCTCAAATCTCTCTGTGCTCATGCACTATAGATATTAATTATTTTCGCACCTGAATCTTAAATCTTATTATTTAGGACAGAACTATTTAGATATGGGTCAGATGCACTATTCTCTAAACCGATACTTACGATTTGGAGACCAAATATAACACTATAATGAATTTTTCATATTTGCCATAACATTGCTACATTCTGTAACACTTTACTTGAAGGGGTGTGCATAATCATGACATGACACATACATAATCATGACATGACACATGTCATGAATATGAAAGAGGTTTTATTTACATCTATTTTTGCATTTTTTATTTTTATTTTTTAATTTGATGTTGATTTGAGGAATTGTTACTTATTATTGCCATCATACCAACTGAGAATTGATTGCAATAATTTTAAATTGATTTCAGGTATCTGACATATTATGACATAACGTTGATGTTTTATATGAAGTCTTTAGAGCCATAAGCTATAATATGTTGTTTTTAGATAAATTGCTCAGAGACCAACAAGTTGGACAGAGGTTATATGTGCTAATCATCCAAGTCCCCAATTCCTAGCCATTTCTAAAGGCTACATTTAATTAACATTGCTAAATATTATTAAACAGGAAAGAAATTAAAGATCCATCTTTGATTGTCAAAAGAATTCCAGGTTCAGTTCACTCAGCCAATTAGATTTCACGTAGTATTTTCATCGGTCAGTTGTGGAGGTCTGCTTGGTTTAAGCTTTATTTACATAGTGCCTTTTAAAACAGTGTATACAAAGTAGCCTACTTTACAAAGAGGTGCATATGTGCAGTCGCAGAAAAGATCAAAATACAAACATAAAAGAGATATAGTAAAACAAAGTAGCTACGATAACAAGTTTATGTTAAAACAAAAATACAACAATAAAAAAATCAAGGAAAGGCCCTGCACAAATCTGTTTTGACATTACTTTTTAAAAGTGCATAATGATAACTTTTGACAACGTTTAATTCAGGTGCTTTCGTGCTACAATAATGCGCTCTCAACATTTGTCATTAAAATAACGCCATATAAACAGCCTATAGTTATTTTGAATGCAAAATGATTAAAAGCAAATGAGATGGATTTACATAAAGAAAAGCAAAAATGTTGATTTTGCATGAGAGTGTTTTGACTGAATGACCACTAGACTTTCACAGGAGAAACACAATCTAGGTAAAAACTATGCAAATTCACAACTCATTTTACAGCTTTTGAAAACTAGTGGGGGAAAAGTACATCTAATTTGTTTCCCTAGGAAACCAAACACTAAAGAGCAGACCACAAACCCCATTTCTACCCACACTCTAGAGGTGGAGCTTTCTAAGATTACATCTGATAAACAGAGAAGTACAGTAAGTGCTACACTCTAAAAAAAAAGCACCTCATTACTGATTTTCTGGAGCTCAGTGATCCAACTACACAGACTGTCAACACACTCTCAACAGGTAAATGATTTCATTCTTAAAATTTAAATACAAATTTAACTTTAAAAATGTAACTGGTTTCCAAACAAACATCTTCTTATCTCTTTTTTTAGTTTTTGGTCACATATACGTGTGTGCAGCTCTGCTAAGCTGTGGAAACTTCTCTCCTCTTCTCCACTAAATAAGTAAAAGAGACAATGAATTTATATTTCATATTGTTAGATGTTTTTTTTATTATTACTTGGGTTTATGTATAAACATACCCAGTCACAAAAGAAAAAGAAATCAAAATGTGTACATTTTGAGTTGGTTCATTTGTGTGAATGACTCTCAGAATATATGTGCATATTTAATAGCAATTTTAGTAAGATTAATAACAATGCTAAAGGTTTGATATTGATGAAGGGGTGTTTGGGCCTTATTGATGGGAATGTAAGGGTACACAAAACAAAAAAAGCTTAGCAAACACTGTATTAAATCACAAATGACTTCATCTTAAATGGTAGTATACAGAGAGGAAAAAATGGCATGCAGACAAATATAGCACCCAATATTAAGGGGAACTATAAGTAACTCAAATAGCAGACATCTACATGACGTATAAAGAAAAAAAGCAAATGGAAAAATGCAGCTAGTGGAAAGGGAGCAAAGGAAACAGAAAGAGAGAGAGAAAAGGACCTGTTAGTGCAACTTCAGCACCAAGGAGAGCAACTGAACTGCCAGATGAAGCACATCAGAATGCCTTCAGCTACACTTCTGCACTGCAGATGAGCGCTTTGGCCAACCAAGATGTGTCAGTTGTGTGGGCAATGCAGTCGAGAGTTCTTAATATAAATCAGAACCATTCAATAAGTTGGCACAGAAAGGGCTAGTGGTCCTTTTCACTGGGGCAAATCAACACTCATTGGGCCAGAGATGTGATGTCAAACCATGTGCAGCAAATGTTTGAGTGGAGAGCGACAAGTGATATAAAAAAAAGCTAGCTGACATATTTTGGACGGGGCTTGATGGGATCTTTCTGTACCGAGATATGTGCCAAGAAAGAAGCGGTGGCAGCTTGCCAAGGCCCCATCCATATGCTGTCTTTACCCTCTATTTCAGCAAAAAAAAGTATTATTTTAAAGAAAAAGAAGTAAAGTGCAATAAGAGTTGGGGTGGGGATCTATATTTAAAAGTATAGTTTTACCTCGCAATACCGTAGTGATATTCTTTACCAAAACAACAATATTTAGAATTTTCACAATAATCAGACAACTGATTCACTCACACAGGAAGTATGTTGCATTAGATCTGTGTTAAAATAACCAGTATATATGTTGATTATCAGTTCTCTGACACAGTGACCCCTCTGTGCGAAAGTCTAACTATAACCTCTTGCTGTGTGTGTGTGCGTGTGTATAGTGTTCTCATATTTCAGTCAGTGGGTTTTTATACACCGAAACAAGTGACAAGTGACGTGACGTGACGTGACGTGGCCAAGTATGGTGACCCATACTCAGAATTAGTGCTCTGCATTTATCCCATCCAAAGTGCACACACACACCGTGAACACACACCCGGAGCAGTGGGCAGCCATTTGTTTGCTGCGGCGCCCGGGGAGCAGTTGGGGGTTCGGTGCCTTGCTCAAGGGCACCTCAGTCATGGCATTGAAGGTGGAAGAGAGCGCTGTACATTCACTCATCTACAATCCCTGCCGGTACGAGACTTAAGTACAACGCTTGGATCATGACCTTAAGTGTTACATAAAAATACCGTATTACATAAAGGCTGTTAACACCTTATATATATCGATATGTAGCTGCTTGTCATTAAAATTCTTAAGGACTATTTGAAATTCAAATAATAATCATTTAAAATTCAGATGCTGAAGCCGTGTGGTTCTTCTCTTCACATCCAGCACTAGAAGAAATCAGTTCAGCTGCCACCCCATGAAGAATTTGAAAAGGGGAAGTAGCCAGGGAAAACCTCCAGCAACACAGTTAAGCAGCAGTGTATGCGAGACACGGAAAGGGTATGGCTGCTGTCCAGATGGGTTCAAGGCAGTTCACCTGGATATACAGAAGGGAAAAAAAACACCTCTTAAATAATTGGGGGGGGGGGTTTAGAAGCACTTGGCTATAAATTGTGTCCGCATGCTGAGCACCTTTCTACTTTTCCAAATAAAAGTGCCACACATACAGAGGTTCTTTCTGAATCAAGCTGAGAGGATTAGAAGATAAATTAACTACTTGGTTACAAATAGATCAACTAAATATCTGATTAAACTTGTTTGTTTAGCTTATTCTCATGCTTTTAGCTCTGGATATTAAATACCTTTGCAAAAAAATAAAGACTATTGGGTCAATCCCAAATTCGGAGAAACGTCTAAGTACTTCCTTCTTTTCTAAGGATGATTATTGTCTGTTCGTGGCCAAAACGGAAAGAAAAAAAACCCTGTACTCTATTCAAAATAAACATAACAAATTAGTATCACATGCTAATGCCTTAAATTACACTATAAAAATTATTTTTCGAAGTTGTAAATAAAGCAAAGGTTACAGAAGTATGTTTTACAAGAAAACACTATTTCAGTCTTTCTGTCATTTCCTTGTTATTATTTGTGAAAACTGTTTCACCACCAATTCTTTTTTTTTTTTTCAGTTTATATTGTCTTCCAAAGTATGTGGCGATGAGGTCCTTTTTTGGAGCTTGAAAATAGTGGGTCCCACCAACTTTCATTATATGTGACCCTGGACCACAAAACCAGTCATAATTCTCGAAATTTCTCTGAATTTCTCTGAATAAATAAGCTTTCCATTGATGGTTTGTTAGGATAGGACAATATTTGGCCGAGATACAACTATTTGAAAATCTGGAATCAGAGGGTGCAAAAAAATCTAAATACTAAGTTGTCCACATGAAGTTCTTAGCAATGCATATTACTAATCAAAAATTACATTTTGATATATTTACGGTAGGAAATGTACTAAATATCTTCATGGAACATGATCTATACTTTATATACTAATGAGAAGAAAAAACGATAATTTTGACCCATACAATGTTTTTTTGTCTATTGCTAAAAATATACGCAAGCGACTTAAGACTGGTTTTGTGGTCCAGGGTCACATATGAACAAAAAACAGCTAAAACATTCTTCAAACATCTTCTTTTGTGTTTTTCAGATGAAAGAAAGTCATGCAAATTCCGAAAACATGAGGATGAGTAAATTATGGACTTTGAATAGTTGGAATTTGCATAGTATAATTCAATACAGTTCTAAACTCATGGAGATGTCTGGCTTGATAGTCTTTCCTTTACAAACATGCCATTATAAAACATGCCATTTTGCTATTGCTTTCGAATACAAGGGAACTGGTCTGCATCACTCGAGGGGCAACCACTAAAAACTTTCCAGAGCATATCCCCAACAGTTGGCAGCGTGTTTGCATGGAGTAAATCCGTTCTCCCCTCTGCCACTTTGCAAGCCTTTTCAGTTTGCCTGCAGGCCCAGCCTTTACCCATGTTATTTGGATTTACTGACGAAACACACAAGCCATATGACAACAAACAAGCAGAGAATGGAGCCCCGGCACTTTTGCCATGGACAGATGTGCGGTGCTTGGCACACAATGAGAGTGGGGGATGGGATGAGAGGGAACAGGGGAGATGGGATAGTGGAAGCTCCTTGGAGTGGACAGGATTGGCAGTGGTCTCTTTGAGAGGGATTTGCATGTTCAAAGCAACCCTGCAATCTAGTCGTGTTCTCAGCGAGAGGTGGCTTAAGAGCACTTCTGAGACTTGGAATTTTAAATTAAGTTTCGGAAGTTAGATGAAGTTGAACTGAGTCTTTGGAAGTTTGGAAGTGGGACAACAGTATGAAATCTGCACCTGTGTCTGTTTGGTTCCTGGAAGAGCCACCGCTAGCTAATGTAATGGTTCTTAGAGCATGTGTCCGACTGCAGTCGTACAAAAATATATAAGGAATGAAGTACAGTCTCCAAAACAGCATCTTAATTAGGTTCACAAGGTGCCAGCTGAAGACTTTAAGTTGATCTCAGACAGCTTGAGGTGTTCCATGTGGGAAGCCAAAACTTAGGTTGGAAAACAGCAGACTTAGTAAGAAACTGATAAACTAGCCACCTGCTAAAGGCACAATTACACCAAGTACGATAACTTTTACGATAATTATTTAGCGTCCACACCAACAGTGCGTTCTGTTTAAGCACATGCTGCGTCAGTGTCATCTACAGTATCACTTTAAATACTCAAGCTCTTCAAAGCTGGTGGATTCTTACTGTCAGGGTTTTAACATTCATCAGCTGGAAAAAATATTCTAAAAGAGATTTCAACAATATCATTATCGTTACATAGCTGTGCTACTCTAATTCTATTCTCAAGGAATATTGATTGAATGATTATTAAAACTTTATAGTTATCGTCCTGGGTGTGAACTGCCCAAACAACTGACCTGAAGAGAAGGGGATGCTCGGTATGAAAATGAAGATGTGTAATCTAGACTATCTCAGTGAGGATAGTGTACACTACGCTGTCAACACTGAGTGGGCCTCCACACATGCTCACTTTCACCCATGATATTAGTTACAGCTCTAGCTATCGCTGGTCTTATTCCTGACAAACCAATAGAGAGAGATCTGTCAGAGCCGATAGCCTTATGGACAGCAGTTCGACATGTGACGTCGTTTTGCTTTAGGCAGCCTGAGTCCTGGCTTCTGATACTTTTTGATCCCACACCCTGTTTCCTGTTAAGTCTCTGCTGTCCTATATAATAAAGGCAATAATGCTAAAAATAAATCTTACATTTTAAAAAATTAAAAATGTAAGAATACTGAGCAAATGCCAGATTTAAGTGCTCATATTAGATCTCTCGCTCTCTCTCTCTCTCTCTCTCTCTTGCTCCCAAACGCAACATCTGTCATTTAGAAAGCTTACTACATACTGAATCATGTGCAGTATAAACTGTATAAAGCCTGCTATTTTTACTTAATTGTAAGTGAAATTACTGCATGATAAATATTTTGTGTACTGGTATGATCACATGACCTAATCGCATAGCATGTTTAATTCATATTTTTTAATATCTTAACATTAGCAATACAATTAAATAAGCCAAGAAAGAAGCATTGACAATAATGCTGCTATATTATTTCAGATAGCATGCAATTAATCACACTAAAAATGGAAAGTCAAGTAAGGCGCATTGTGGGATACAGTATTCTGTGCAGTAAGCTCTGTTTATATTCTGCTCATTACTGACAAATGCAGTAGGTCATCAAGGTATGCATACAGGAAATATGCACACTTAGTGCACAATATTATGTACAGCAGTAATGGTAAGAGTATTATTATCGTATGCTTTTTTAAACATAGCCTAACTCTCGTTAACTCACTGATGTTTTTAAATTAGAATAGTAGGCCTAATCACCAAGGGTCTTCCAAAGCTTCTAAACAGCTTAGGAGGATCAATCCCTGGCTAGACTTTTTAAGAAATCCTACAAGCCCAACAGTTGAGCTTGTACAGTGAGAGGTGTGTCTTCATTTGCAGCCATGAGCATGTGCTTTCAGTGAAGCTTTATCTCTCAGCATCATCTCTGGAAAGGATGGTTCACCTGAAAATAAATATTCTGTCATCATTGAATCACCATTTTGTTGCTCTAAACCTTCAATTCACTTTTAACATATGCAAAACAAATGATAATAGTAGTAATAATAAATAAATAAATCCACATAAAGTAATACAGGTTTGGAGAACATGAGTAAATGATGGCAGAAAATACATTTTGGGGTGAACTATCCCTTTAAATTCCTGTCGTCGTATAACACTGCACAGAGAGCAACCTTGGCGTCAAGTGTGAAATCATGCAGTTGTCTAAATATTACCAAACACTCTACAGGGCCTTGTGGCGTTGTGTAAACGCCGTTGCCGTTTATCGAACAAAACATTTGTCTGTTACTTCATGACAACCGCGCAAAACGCGGAGGATATCGTGTGTATCTCGACCTCAGAAAGACGGACCGGTGACGGCATGTGCATGAGGAATATTCAGCAGCCCATAAGCGAGACAAAGACTGTCTCAAAACCTAGCGAGCTGCCTACCTGGGTATCACATGAATTGTTCTTCATTAATCAGCAATTTTGTCTCGTTTTCCAGTTAAAACAATATAAATGTATTTGAAAAGCTTGAATTAAGTTGATCTAATTACCCCTTTCTCAAACAGTATATCTTGTTTCAAGCATAATTCTAACAAACTTAAGTGAGCTTTAGGTGAACCAAGTTTGTCAACGGGAATTCAAAATATATTCTAAAAATAAAAACTCGGTAGTGTCACTCCAATTTTAGTTTCGCTTCACTGGCTTCTGGTCCATTTTAGAGTTCAGTTTAAGATTCTGCTGTTTGTTTTTAAAGCTCTAAACAATCAAGCTCCATCTTATCTTAAAGATCTTATTATCCCTTTGTCATCTACCAGACTTTTAAGATCCACTGACAGGGAATTATTTTCTGTGTTTCCTTTTCTCTTTTAATTTTATTTGACATTGTTAAGCACTTTGGATAGCTTTGCTATGTTGAAATGTGCTATATAAATAAAATTTACTTACTTACTTACTTACAGATTAACACTTTCATTATAAAAAAAGTGTGCAAAATATGTGCCCAAATTTAAAATGAAATTATTTAATTTTTATTTTCAATAACAATGCATTGTCCCTTTCAAATTGAAAAATAAAATGCAGTTGGTGATTTGACATTTAATTTGCATTGCAATCTGAATAGGCAAGACTGCCAATATTAAAATGAAAAGGCAAAAGTGAAAAAGAAAATGCAAATACAAATAAAAATTTTTTTTTACTATGCTTTTTATTTTAGAAAAAATAAACAGTTTTCGTTTTAATTTTCAAAGTGAACCTGTATGCATTATAATCAGTGGGCGTGGCTTATTGTTCAAGTGATGTAGAATCTGAGGCGTAAGTATGGAAGCCCATTTCCACCACAGTCGAGTAAAAAATATGATTCTGTAAATCATAATAATGAGAAAAATCATTATTATGATTTACAGAATCATATTTTTTACTCGACTGTGGCAGAAATGGTCTGCCATACTTACGCCTCAGGCCAGGGCCGGAATGGGACTCATTTTCAGCCCTGGAGTTTCATGCCTTAGACCGGTCCACTTTGTTTTTTGTTTTTTACTGGCCTTTGCAGTGCCGCCTTTGCACTTTCTATTATAAATTTTTTATCAATTATTTTTTGCTCGCATATCTCCAACAATTACTTTTTTTTTTAAAGCAAGGTTCCGCTGTCAGGGGAGTCAAAAGATAATTACATCATCATTGCCAATTAACATAAGAAATGGAAAATAAGGGACAATTGTGTTTCTTTATCTTATTCTTTAAGAAAATAGTGTTTATTCTTGTAGAAAATAAGTGTTTATTCTTTAAGAAAATAAGGGACAGAATAAGGGACGTTCCAAATATTTGTTCTGTACCATAATGCAGGCCTAAGTCTGCCTGCAGTTAAAAAGTTCTCAGAAATAATCAGAATCAGAAAGAAATCAGAAAGAGCTTTATTGCCAAGTATGTTTGCACATACAAGGAATTTGTTATAGTGTCACAAGCTTCCAGTACACGGAGACAACAACAACACACAGATAATAAAAATGAGATGTGAATAAAATACACATGCATAAATATAAACCACAAAAAAAGAATAAATTGTATGTACAGGTGTGCTATAGATGGAATAAGAATAGAATAAAATAAAATAAAATAAAATAAGTTGCAGGGATGTATTAGGGTTTAGGGTGATAAATAAGTATAAGGTTATTGCTCATACTGTACTTTAATTGCACAATGGGAGAACATTAACTGTTCATGAGGTAGATTGCCTGGGGAAAGAAACTGTTCTTGTGCCTGGCTGTCCTGGTATTCGCTGCTCTGTATCGCCGACCAGATGGCAAAAGTTCAAAAAGGAGATGGCTTGGATGTGATGGATCCAGAGTGATTTTCTGAGCCCTGTTCCTCACTCTGGAACAAGAGTGAGGAACAGGCAAGACATTTATAATGTTACAAAAGATTTCGGTTTCAAAAAAATGCTGTTCTTTTTTTACTTTTTTTTTATCATCAACGAATTCTGAAAAACAATATATTTCGGCTTCCACAAAAATATGAAGCGGTTTCTTTCACCCTGTAATAATAATAATCAGACATGTTTCTTGAGCAGCAAATTAGCATATAACAATGATCTCTGAAGAATCACGTGACACTAAAGACTGTAGTAACGATGCTGAAAATTCAGCTTTGGTCACAGAAATAATTTACATTTTGAAATATATTTACATTGAAAACACTTATTCTAAATTGTAATAATATTTCACAATATTACTGATTTTATTGTATTTTTAATCAAATAAATGCAGGCTTGGTGAACAGAAGAGGCATATTTAAATAAAATATATATATATAAAAATCTCTTGAATGGTTATGTAAAACTGTTTTCCCCACTCTAGTCTACACTGCAGGTGTCAGGTATTGCCGAACCTTCAATCCTCTTAGGTGACCCAATCATCTATCCAACATAATCTTGCCAGTCAATTGTCAGGCAAAGCAACAGGCAATGAGGTTCTGCCAAACTCTGGTCGACACTCTAAAACTGATTCCGCAAAAAGGAGCTAGGGTCTGTATGGGGCAGAGAGGTCAAGGGTCAGTGGCTCACCTCATTAGAACTGAACTGAATTGGCTTTATCACTCTCTGGTGTGTGGTGAGCGCACTGGCACCGTTGTCCCGTGGCTGCCGTGGAGTCAATGTGAGTGTCCCACTTCAGGTCCTGAGAGATGGTGGTGCCCAGGAACCTGAATGACTCCACTGTCGTTACAGTGCTACCCATGATGGTGACTGGGGGGAGTGCAGGGGGGTTCCTCCTGAAGTCCACAATCATCTCCACAGTTTTGAGGGTGTTCAGCTCCAAGTTGTTAAGACTGCACCAGACAGCCAGCTCTTTAACCTCCTGTCTGTAAGCAGACTCGTCTCCATCCTTGATGAGACCGATGACTGTAGTGTCATCTGCATACTTCAGGAGCTTGACAGAGGGGTCTTTAGAGGTGCAGTCGTTGGTGTAGAGGGAGAAGTGCAGTGGGGAGAGGACGCAACCCTGAGGGGTGCCAGTGCTGGTGGTGCGGTTGTTGGATGTGAATTTAACAATTCTCACTAGCTGTTGCCTAGTGGAGTGCCATATTAATAAAAGGAGTTAATCATCCATGTTTTATTTCAATTTTAAAAATATAAATAAATCACTTTTCAAATTGATAAATAAAAAGTAACTAAAGCAAATGTTTTTAAATGTGACAGTAAATAATAAATTGATAATTAATTTTTAAATGCAACGATTAAATTGCAATTTTTATATATTTGTCGATGAAGTTAAAATGCCTTTGCGCAATTCACACATAGGAGCAGCCAAAGAACTTTCGAATGAATTCTAAAGGGATAGTTCACCCAAAAATGAAAATGTCATCATTTACTCACTCTCATGTTGTTCCAAAGCCATAAGACTTTGCTTAATTTTTGAAGCACAAATTAAGATATTTTTAATGAAACCTGAGAGGTATCTGTCTTTCCAGTGAAAGTCCAGGTAACCAAAACTTAGAAGATCCAAAAAGGTCATAAAAGCTTCCATATGAATTGATCGGTTTAATCAAAGTCTTGTGAAGAGATATGATGAACAGATTTAATTTAGGCTTTCATTCATATATGCATTTCAGTCATAGGTCTCAGTTTTCATTAAAAATATCTTCATTTGTATTTTGATGATTAACCAATGTCTTATGGATGTGAAGGTGAATAAATTGACAGATTCTTAATTTTTGGGAGACACATCCTCTAACACAGGACATGGCTGTGAGTGAAATGGATGGAGACTAGAAAAGTTGTCATTTTTAAACATATGCTTCTCTCAGTACAAATTATGCTTTTACACTGTATTTGTAATATAGAGAGAACCCTTTATATGGCACTCCTAGTACAACTTTGTTTAAATGTCAGCATGAAAACAATAGAAAGTATGTGGCCATTTGTATCTCCCATCTATTTTTTTATTATTTTTTTCTTATTTCTGTCGTGAGGTGGCGAATGACAGCTGCATCGTATAATTATGCAAAAATCAAAGAGAGTAGGAGACACCTGAAAATGCTTCTCTCAACTGCGCAGTCAAATCAATCCACCAACGGTAAACTGTGGTCAGGAGAGTTGTGATAACAGAGTAAACCTGAGAGTGAGTTTGACAATATTTGTGTGTTAAACTTACAAACATCTGCAGGATATTTGAATCGTATGAAAATGACAGCAACCGTAAAAAAATGTTTTTTATGAGTCAGGACAAAGGAGAGGGAATCTTGGCCAGGTTTCTGCAGGGATAGTGTGTGGTTATTATAAAAAGTATTATAATAAAATAAAAATGTTTAATGTAATATATTTCACATAATATTTTAAAGTTTTTTCACAATATTGGAAACTTGTTTAAACTCCAGATTATGAGGAATTGCATTGCTGAATCACTTCCAGTGAGTAAGGCAAACACAGCGTACATGTCTTTATCGTGGACTTTGTATTTACCCCATTTTGTTTTAAAAATGCTGTTTTATCAGCAAATGAAAGCTTTTATGAATAGTCTAGTATATCATACTTGAGAGACATGAAGAAGGATTTCAAGTTGTGTGTGTGTGTGTGTTTTAATGTAGCAAGAGTCAACAACAACCAATCAGATCGCTCTCCACTCAAGCCTCGCTTTCCATCCAGATGGCACCACAGGCCTCAACAGCTGGAACGATGACTATTGGCTGGGTGTGTAACCTGTTCAATTCAGCAATCCTCTGAATTAAAGCAAACCTCATGGATGAGGTAATGCAACTGTCCATTGAATAATAAAGCGATTTAAGCAAGGGCGTAGCGTATTAGCGTATAGATC